AAAAAAAAAATAGCTTGTTTGTAATCAAATGTTCCAAAAAGAATCTACAATTGATATATATATATAAGACAGAGATTATCTTTTTAATGAGAACTTGATATCATAGTGATAAGATGAATCCTGCATAGACTTTGATTAATTAGAGATTTTAAATTTAGGAATTGAATAATAGACGAAAAAACATCAATCATTTATCAACTTAGATATTTTCAGCCTTTCAAATGAGTTTAAATTTATCTATATTTCTGTTTATTAAAATGAATAATAATTTTTTATCAACATTGTAATATTATTTGAATTTCTTATAGGAAGAAATATCAATTGTCATTCATTTTTACTCATATCTTATTTATGTCTTATTATTTATTGTTGTAATAGTGTGTTAGGAGTAATCTTCTATCCCTCATCTCTTCACTCAATTTCAGGTATTAACATCTGCTGATAAAACAGAAGGAGGCATGGTGGAGTAATGGATAGTGGCTCAGATAAAGGAATCAGAGCCAAGTTCGAATTCCAGTTGAATCCATTACATTCACCTACATGCTAATACCCTTGAGAAAGGTATGAATCCGCTTCTTCTCCCCCCAGCTATGGGTAAATAGCAGGACCGGGTTCTATAGCCTTGGATGGCAACGGTTTTACTGCAGAAAGAAATGGCAACCTACTGTGGGAAAAAATCTGCCTTGTCAGTCATGTATCGAAAGATACATGATCGCCTAAGTGTGTATCACACATGGAACATAACTGACTGATAAAACAGAATGTTTTGCTCACAAATTCTCTTCTTGACTCATCCAAAGTATCTTTGCCTAACTTTCTACTTAGAACTGAATTTCTATTCAGTTATATATATATAATCCCATCCATGGTTTCTGCTATCATCTCTAAACTGCAGGCCCACAAAGCATGTGGACTTGATGATATCCCTGCAATACTCCTTAAAAAGTGTGCTTCTGAACTGTTCTCTCTAAACTCTACAATAAATGCCTTGCTACTTCTTGCCTTCCTGCTTGTTGGAGATCCTCCTCTGTAGTTCCAGTCTAAGAACTGTAGCAAACCATCTGATCCTTCAAACTCGGTCTATTAGCCATCTGCCTCTTTTTGGCAAAGTACTAGAGGTTTTTTAATCAACTCTGAATTGGTTAAGCATCTCACCTCACAGGGTCTTCTTCACATGGCTTTTGCTTCTCTAGGCTAACTGCTGATGTATTAACAATTATTGCTGAAAGAGTCTATCAAGTTTTAGATAAGAATGGTGAAGCTTGGGCTGTTGCTTTAAATATCTCAAAGGCATTTGATAGATTTTGGCATGCTGGTCTTCATAAGTTGAAAGGTTATGGTATTTCTGGAGAATTTTTTGAACTGATCAATCTTTCTTATCAAATTGTGACATGAAAGTTGTCTTGAATAGCCACTGTTCTGGATTGTTTTGTATTAATGCAGGTGTTCCCAAGAGCTCTATCCTTCAACCTTTGTTCCTAATTTTTAACAATGACCTTACTGATATTATCAGTTCTCAACTTAGTATCTATGCCGATGATACAACTATTTACTCCTCTCTTAATAATAAGTATAATTGCTTCAAGAAGGGCAAATTGGCAGATGATCTCAAAAGTGACCTACAATCTGTTGTTAATTAAGGCAAGGAATGGTTTAATATTAATGCTTTTGAAATGAAATTGTTCTCTTTTAATCATCTAAAAAAATCCTTTTTGCCTTCCATCAGCATGGCTGATGCTAACCTCCAGGAGAGTGACTCATTGCTCCTTCTCAGGCTAATGTTTTCCACTGACATGAAGCAGAAAGATTATATTGAATCAATTGCTAGGTTTGCTGCTAGGAAAGTTGATTCACTGCGTTGTGCTAGACAATTTTTCTTACACATTTATAAGTCTACCATCAACCATGCATTGAATATTGCTGCTACATATGGTCTAGTGTTTCTGCTATATATTTAGAGATTCTTGATAAAATCAAAAGACAAATTTGCAATATTATTGGTCTTGATCTAGCATCTCAGCTTCAGTCCTTTTCCCGTCACCATAACTTAGATTCCCTGTTCGTTTTCTATAAATTTTTTCATGGTAATTATTCTTATGAGCTTTTCCCTTTAGTACCTAGATTTTATGAACTTAAGTACAGTACTAGATTGGTGGCAAGGTCTCATCATTTTACAATTGAAATGGCTGTAAGTTCTATACTAACAGTTTGTTCTGTCTTACTTCTCCCTTGTGGAACTCTCTTCCAGCTTCTTGCTTTCCAGTCAACTTTGATCTTCAAAAATTTAAAAGCAACCGCAATCATTATCTTCTGTCTTTAATTTCTGTTCTTTTATTATTCTCCCTCCTTTATAATATTTTAAAATTTTTTTCTTCATATTCTATGACTCCTTGTGTCTTAATTACTGTAATGCCTTGTTTGGGGATGAAATGATTAAAAAAACTTTCCAACTCCTAGATTATCATACGCTTATCATTTTAAATTGTACAGATGATCAATTACATGCTTAATTAAATTAGTTGACAGAACTAATAAATTATTATTTACAATCTTTTCTTAGCTAGTATGTAAACAACATTTACTGTCTTCATGTCTAAAAACTACTGTGATATTTTTCATGAAACTTTTCTTTTTAGGTTATTTATATTTATTGTAAATTTTGAACCTATTAAAGCAGAAAGAGAAAGTTATACTATTGAAATAATTCAAATTTGTGGGCAAGGATATAAATAAACATGTTTTTTTCATTTTTAAATTGATACAACACTTTGATTTCAATTTTTATTATTGAGCTAACATTGGTATTTGAATAGATTTGCACTAACTCCTCTCTGATACAGGATTTTTGTTTAAATGTGTAATTGCCCAATGATAGATATTCTGTTGAATATGCAACCATTAAAATTGCCTTAACTCAAACCTGTTAATTCAGTGGAGATAGGGAATAATTAAAAAAAACAAAATGATTTTATTATAAGCGCTGAAACAAGCGAAACTGTGTGTATATGTGTTCAATATGTCATCTAATTCATTTTCATAAATTTTAAGTAACTGAATTCTTCTTGACAAAAATATCAAAGATGGCTTCCATTAAAAAGAAAATACACAATATCATTCAGAAATGGGTATTAACAGTGATCATTCAATCAGAATAATATTTAAATGTTGTTGCTTTATCAGAATTATTGTTTACAAATTATCTTTATCAATATAAACAAAATGAAGGGGAAGATTTTTCCCTATGAGTGGGTTCCAAGAACCATTTGGCTCTTGACATCACTATTACTGTATATACTTTCTCAACAATTTTTATTGTTTCAAAAAGCCATTTTTATGGATTTTAATAAAACTGAAACACATGAAACAATATATGTATTCTCTTTTTTCATGAGAATCGGTAACAAAAGTATTAAACATTCATGGAAATCTTATAGTCTAATAAATAGTGTTTAATATTTTTGTAGTCAATTCTAAAGAAAGAGAAACATATAGACTCAGATACTCACAAACTATTTTAATGAATCTATGTGTTGAGAGCAAATGAAAGAAATGTCTGGAAAATAATTACAGTTACTCATAGTCATGTGTTTATTTAAATTTTCTTGTTTTCAGGCATTTTTATAAATTTATGAATAAAAAAATTGTTTTTATAGTTATTTTTTTTATAGTAAATGACAAATATTGCATTGCAGTTGTTTCACATAATTTTATGAACTTGTAAATTTAAAATTATTCTTGTAAATAAACAATCTAATAGTGTGTTTAATAACTGATCAGTACTAAATAGGAACTAGATAAGATATTTCTAGAAATAGTCAACAGAACAAAAACATCTACTCTCATAAATTAAACAAAGGATTTAGTTGAAATTTCCTGAAGGTTATCCAAATTAGCAGACACTTAAAGAAGACCAGAGGCCACAATGACCAAAATTACTTAGAATGTAAATAATATTAATTATTATTATGGTTATTTAAACTATTTATATTTGGACTATTGTCCTCATCTTTGTTATTTTTATCACAACATTTTAGCTGTTGTGCCCTCTGGCTGAAACATTGTGATAAAAACAATGCAGGTAATAGTCCAAATACAAATAGTGTAAATAATGATAACTCCTCATCCCAGAAATTCAGACAAAAGATATTATTATGCTATTTAACATAGTGTTAATAATAGGTTCAATTTAGAATTTAATGTAGTATTTTCAACTGTTAAACTATGTTGGCATGAAAACAAAATCATCAAACCTTTTCTAAATGTTTTTTAATAACCCTTTAAATAATTAGTTATAACTAGTGCATTTTATTATTTCATATTGAGTGAGTATAAAAATTGTGTGTAGTTGAGTGAATGTGGAGATGCTGAAAATTTCTTGGCCTGACAAAAAATTCTACTGTTTAGCTGTTTAGCTACTGGTCAGATTTTGGGAAAAGTGTTGGGATGAGGAATTGTCAGTACCCTCTTGTTACAAATTATTTAATTTAAAATTTAATCAATTACAATTTTGTAAGTTTAAATCATAGTTGTCTTAATTATATAATGGTTAAAACTGTGTACATATGATTTATTCTTGGCTTTTTTCATATAAGTTTTTTTAAGTTCAATATCTTAAGCTGTCTGTATCTATTTCCTTCTTTCATAAAAATCCTTTTTATTAAATCTTTTATAGAAATTTATAAGTAATAATTAAATGTTGCTATTTATATTCTAACAGATATAAAGGTTATGCTCGAATTTTCATATGACTTTTATTTATTTTCATTTTTTATATTTAGCTTGGTTAAATAAAATATTTAGTTCAATGTAGAATAACAATTTAAAATCATCTGACCAATAAAACTATCTTTAGTATGCTTTTTTTAGTTTTAGCTACATTTTAACCTTATCAAATGAGTGTCAATTATATCAGTGGAAAAATAGACATTGCACATATCAGATATAACCTGCTGTAGATATTCTTTCAGTTCATTTGTACGTTTCAGACCCAAACAAGTAACATGTCTGTATCGGTTGTTCTGAAGAATGCTTGTAGTACTTGTGGGGAAGGTCCACACTGGGATGATGTCACAAAATGTCTTTCATTTGTGGATATTATGGCTGGAGATTGTCATCGCTGGGATTCTCAAACTGGAGACCATGAAAAAATTCATATAGGTAAGTTTGAAATGTTTTTACACAGATCGTGTTTTAACTATGCTGTACAAAATAATTAATGTGTATATAGGTGTTTATGTTTTTTAGGTACAAGGTGCTATCAAAAGTTTGCTGAATTTTAAAAAATTCTGGTGTCACTTCACAAGGCAATAAAGAAACACCTATATTTTATAACATTTTGCTTGTTTGCAAACTCATTATGTGCATTATGATGTGGCTGCTCAAGGATGTAGAAAGGGGACCCCTGATGAAATTCTGACAGCTAATAATATATCATTCACCAGTAAGACCTTCAGAACTTTTGATGATGAATGGGAAGTCTGCTTACATTTTCAATAGGCACATATGTAATCGGGAAGCAGCAATGTTGAACTGGGTAAAGCAAATTGCTGTTAGGAAGCAATATTCTGCCCAGAAAGTATTATACTGGTATAACATGACATCCAAGGATACCATTCACAGTACAACTATTCATGCTGATGCACTGTATTCATACGAGTGAAGAGTATTGACAAGACATCCTCACCAAAAATATAAATTGAGTATGAAACCTATAAGAAAGATGGTGCTTTGCTAGTGAAAAAAAAAATCATCAAACAAATGTATGAGTATATATAAAACAGGAAAGGTTACCAGAGTCTTAAGTCCCCAAGTAGTCTTCATTGAAGTAGTGCTTTTTTCAATATTTTTAAAACGTTTTTTATTGATTTAGCCAATGGATAACAGAGGAACAGTGTAACCATCAAAAATTAAATCTGCCTGCCTTTAGGCAATAATGAAGATAGTGAAGCAATGATGACAGCTACAACCTCATTTGGTTGGTCATTTGTTTAAAAGAGTCTTCACTGATATAAAAACTCCACTATGGAAAAAAATTTATTTGGGAAGACTACCCATTATGATATTATGTTCAAGTGACTAGTTTTTTTATTAGCATTTAAAATGAAAATGATTAGCATTTTTATTTGGTGGAAATTTTATTTAAATTTATTTGGCAGCATCTGTCTGCTGCTCATGCAAATGACTTAGCTATATTTAAGCCAAGCATAAAAGTCTTTCTCAGTTCACTTGTTCATTAGTTTGAAGTTTGCATTTGGCAACCATAGGTGTGTTGATGAATCATTACTAATTCCACCTTTTTTTTACAAAGAAATGCATGAGACATGTACAGATAAACCAAATTAATAGCAGCTCAGAATGAGAAATCAGAGAGACAAATTTAAATTCCAGATTAGTTACATTCATTTATACACAAATACCCTGGTATGACTCCATCTCTTCTTAAATATCAGGACACACTGGGCTCTTTAGCCATGGTTGGCAACCAGTCTAGGAGAAGGACAACCCTAAATTCAAAATGCAAAGAAAATTAATAATCTTAAAACACCCTAAAACAGCAGTTCTCCGTATTCAGTTCTTCCAAAAAGTGAGGATGATTTTGAACAAATCTTCACCAATAAAATCAAATCAGATGTTCAGGGCAGTGTGACTGTTACATTTTAAGAGCTGAATTGTTGGACCTGCATGAATTGAAGATGATAGAAGACTTTATTATTATTATATATATATATAATTTAATTTAAAAAAAAACAGACAACTTTAAGGGTCAATTATTATAATTTATTTCCCCAAATTTTCGAAAAATTTACTCATCTGATTTCACTTCCAAGGATGAAAAAATGAATTTAAATTTATATATAATTTTTAATATTTTTTTGATGGGTATTTATTTATGTTGATTATTTTGATATAGAGAGAGATTTTAGAGATAATTGGTAAGCGACAGACATTGTCGAAATTAGAGAAAGAGATTGATAGGAAAATGGCTTTTAAATTAAAATTTTGCTTTTTAATTATTTTTATTACAATACTTAATAGTGAGGAAGACAGGTAAGGATCAGACATTGACCTTCTTAATAGGTCAACTCACCAGAAAAACGATATAGAAAGAAAAAAAAAGAAGTTCTTCTTGTAAAAGATATATCTCTATATATATACATAGAGAGAGAGAATATATATATATATATAGAGAAAGAGATTCATATATTTCTTCTCTTTTTTCTTATATATATATATCTGTGTATATATATATTTTCTTCATAGAAAAGAAAGAGTTTTTCTTCTCTCTTCTTATATATTTCACCACTATGAGAAGGCTTGTGTGTTCTTTTGTTTTCCTTTTTAAATTTCTTTCAGAACTGAGCATAATATTTCACCATCAGCAGCAGTCTTTTAACTTTTTTTAATCATCCTTTCATTTTTGTATTGCATTGTTACAGGTGAGGAAAATGGGTTTGCATATCAACAGAAAAATGGAAAAAAAAACACTTCTTATTTCTTCAATGTGAAACTAGGAAAATTCAAAAAATCAGGACTCCATCTTCATTTTTCGTTTTTGCTTTTTGCCTTGTGAAATATGAAATTTGTCATTCAATTACAAATTCCTTTGAAACATGGAATTATCACCACTTCAGATATTTTTTTTATTTGCAAAATTTATGATTGGATAAACAAAACATTATGTTGAAAGTGTCATGCTTTGGTAAAGGAAAAACTGTTACTCTATGACAATGCATCTTCCATATTCACCAGATTTAGCATCTACAGAATTTCATTTAAAAAAAAAATCAAATTATGCATAAGTATCAAAGCATTCAGAAACAAAGAAGTTGAGAACTTGTTTTGGGAAAAAAAACAGAAATTTTTTTTCAGCATCTAATCAGAAATTTGCCTTCTTGTTGGGCTGCAGTCATTGAAAATGAAGGAGATCATATTGTGTGTTTGTATCTTTTCTGGTAAAAACATAACTCCTTTCAGTCACTATAATATATAAATATATATATATATATATATATATATATATATATATATATATGGAGAGAGAGAGATAAAATAAAAATGATTTATTGAACCAAAGAAATGAAATCATATTTAAATGTTACCATAAAAATAGGTTTAATTTGTCTTAAAAATAGCCATTTATTTTGTGTCAAACAGTAAAAAAATGTTTAGGTTTGTAACTATGTATATGTTTGTGGGTTGTGTGTGTGTATATATATATATATATATATATATATATATATATATAATGAATATGCATACACCTGAGTTCCCCCACAGTAATATGATTTGTAGTGTCAGCCATAAATACAGACTTTTGTGGAGGTTTTTGTTGGGGGCCTTTTTTCTATATCAAATAGTCTTCACCTATTGCCTACTACTAAACCAGTCCATTACGGTTACCTGCTAGATTGTCCTACTCGGTTACAGTAGTCAAGAACAACTTTGCTACTTCAAACAAATATATCCCTTTCCAGGACATATCATATATATATATATCTGAATAAACTGTGTATACATATATGTTTTTTTATTATTATTTTATTTCCTTTGATTTCTGGTTTATTCTCATTTCTTTCTGGGTCCTGACCAGAGACCTAAGGTCAGAAATGGCATCATGACATTTTCCACAGCAATTTTGAAAAATAATCACATATTTTACATAGATAAAGCCCTTCGTAAGGTGTGGGCTGTACTTGTGAGAACAATCTTTTGTATTTCTTTAAGGCATGGGCTACCAGGAATACCTTCAACCAGTCTATTGGAATCTTTTCCAATCAATCCGAGGGCTCCCACTACAACTAGAAATATTGATGTTCTCATGTGCTACATTTTTGAGATTTAGATTTCAAGGTCCTGGTATTTTCATAGCTTTTTGAAGATCTTCAACGATACATTACAGTCTGCAGGGACTGCCATGTCAATAAGGTGTCACTTTTTGTCTTTGTGGTATCTAATCATGATGTTTGGGCAGTTAGCTTTGATTGTTCTGTCTGTGTGTATTGTAAAGTCCCATAAAATTGTTACAGGTCCTATCTCTGTAACCGGGTCTGGGTGGTGTTCATACCAATTTCTTGCAGTTTCCTTTCCGTAAAAGTTGCAGATTTTCCAGTGCAGATATTGGCCCACTCTGTCATGCCGGGTTTTATATTCAGTGGGTGCCAATACCGTGCAACCTGATACAAGATGGTCAATTGTTTCTGGATATTTATCACAGAATCTGCATTTTGGGCTAACATAATTTTTCAGTATGTATGCTTGATAATTTCTAGTTAGCAAGCATTGGTCCTGTGCAGTAAGAATAAAACCTTCGGTTTCAGCTTTTAACCCTGCACTATCTAGCCACTGATGGGTATGGGGTTTATCTACATCAGCTTGTTTGGTACAGGCAGTATATTGATCATGAAGAGGTTTATCTTGTCATCATTTGTATATCTGGTCAGTTGCATTTGCCTTTGCTTTCGTTTTTAAGTATTTATTATGCCTTACTTGTATTTCTTCACTCATTTGAAACTCCATTTTGAACTTTGGCTTCTTTTATTACTGAATAAATTGCTTACTACTTTCATGTTTTTTGGCACATATCATCATCCAGTTTTCTGTAGTTTCCAGGTATCTTTGAAGGCCAATTGTTGTAGTTTTGTAAGACAGTTCTATTTGAACTAATCCTCTTCCCCCTTCAGATCTGGGCACATACAATCAACATCAGCTTTGGGATGGTGCATGCAGTGGCAGGTGAGAAGCTTTCTCGTTTTGGCATCCATTCAATTAATGTCAGCTATGGTCCAGTTAAAGATGTTGAAACTGTATTGCACAATAGAGACAGCCAAAGTGTTTATGGGTTTATGGCTGATATTCTGTTTTTTGAATTCAAATTGTTATTCAGTACCAGATACACATGCCTGTAGTACTCCTTTCTAACCTTTTCCTTCATTTGGGTATGCTGTATTCCATCTCCTTTGCTAATTCCTAGGTACCTATAGGCTTCATCTTGTTCCAGTTCCCTAATTTTTATGACAAAATCTAAATCTATCGAGTGTGTTTCTGTAATTTACCCTTTCTTGAATGTTACTTTTGCATATTTATCTAATTTGAAATCCATACCTATGTCATCTCTGAAACATTTTACTGTATTGAGGAGATCCTTCAACTCATTGTCG